CGTGATCTCTCCTAACCACAGCTAATTAATCAAATTAAATTAATCTGTCAATGAATTATCAAATTTAATCCTTAAAAACACTAGAAAATATTTACACTTCACGATGATATTATATGAAATGCGGATATCTCAGGAGAATTATGTCATTTGTCTGGTTTTTTTACCAAAAGGATTTGATAAGTATAACTAAATAATGAGTAAATAGATATTAAACAAAAATATTATTTCACTATAGATCAACACGGCTATATAAATTAAGTCTTAAAAACTTATAACAATGATTCTGGAATCTAGAAATACATGGAAGATCATGTATCAATAGGATTCTCAAAGTTTTTAAAAAACAAAAAAAAAGTAAAAAAAATTCTAAAATTTCGATTAAATTTTCGATAGCATTTTTAAAAAATTATTGCAATACATTAAACCTCATTTGTTCACCAAAAACTTTATTCAATCTAATTTCAAATAAAAATATAATTTTGAAAAGGTGAAAAGACATTAACTATGCAAAACTATCTAAAAGATGTTTCAAATATATACTATTTAATACATGCGTCTTCCTATCATTTAAAAGATAACACATTTTCCGCCAAACAATCATTTATCACTTGAGAATAAAAAAGAAAAAAAGTAAAATCTAAATTTTTTGCATGAAGAAAATGAAGAGTAATTAAAAAAAATAGGAATGAAGTAAAAAAAAAAACTGGTGCCATTAAAAAAAAAAATTTACTTTTATTTCTGCCACTCGTAATGTTATTTATTTAATAATAGTTACAGTAAGGAAGAATCTATCGTTTTTATTGTTTCGCTTTTTATATACTAGAAAAAGAAAAACTAAAAAAATCGACGATATTCTCGAAAATTCTGACTGCATCACATCAATATAATATCAAATTTTTCTAAAATAAATTTGTTTTAAACAGAGAAGTGGGAAAGAATTCAAAATCAAACGAAAAGAATGTTTAGTACATAATTGAATGGAACGTTTTAATCCACAACGAAATCAGAATTAATCAGGTAGATCACAACAAAAAAATGGATGAAAAATGAAACTCCATCCATTTCTTTACTTTACTTTTCTTTTTCAGCATATTTTAGAAAAATAAAAAATTGAAGTATGCGTTTGATTTTGTCTGAAAACTCAAAATAAATTCCTCGATGATTCATCATTTGTAATAAATGTAAATGAAAATTTACACAATATTTCTCGTGCTTGATAAATCCTCATGCTTGAAAAACTAATTCATATCTCAGTTTCTTTAAGCCTTTTTCCGATCTTAGATATTTCCATCATGATTAATCTTGTTACCTCCTTTTTTTACCAGTTAGTCTTTACCTATACACCTGTTCTCATTCTTGTTTTTCATTTTTTACATTCTTATCTTTGTATCCGACTGCACTGTATTGCAGCACGAATGAAGGTGTTCATTCATTTTTATTCACCTTTATTCACTTATTTGCTCCTATTCATGCTCACCCACTCATCATCAAATATTCTGCTGCTCATTTCATCTGCTAATAACGAAATTGTTTTCACAAATAATCGACTGTTCTGAAAGCATTGTAGATTGATTGATGTTGATTCACAGACAAATTATCTGTTAAGATTTATTTTATAGTTGGGAATTTTATTCTAATAATTCTACCATCAACAGATGAAATGAGCAGCAGAATGTGAAAGAATGCAAAAGGAGAGTATTGATCCGAATACTTGATCGTTTATATCCTCAATATTGGGCGGTATCATGATAATAAATAATGGGCTTAATAGGTAATCCCAAGGTCAGACAGCGTCATGTTGGGGGAAGTGATTACTTGTTAGCTACATTGCTTTCACGTAAAAGAAAAATAACAATCCAAGAAAAAATATGTGGTAAAGCTATCTTTCTCAATGATATTATAAAGGTCAGAGGTCATGACAAGAGGTCATAACAAGAAATAAATTTTAACAAAGACAAAATTGTGAGACCCATGACATAATTCTCAATACATGTGAATAATTTTATCACAAAATTTCGGATTTCCCAATACTGATTAAAAAATAAATCATAATTTGTCTGCAAACCAACAAACTAGTCGATTTACAAAATTTTCACAACCAGTTAATTAGAAAATGATTTATGAACATATTTATCTATAATCACAAGAATACGGAAGATTGACTGAAGTGACGAATAATTTGTCGATAATCAAATGTGCAATTAATTAAAAACTTTTACAATGAATGTATTTCACAAACCTTTTCCTTTTGTTCGGGCAAAATAGCAGAAGAATCGAACATTTTGAAGAAGCACAGAAGCGAAATGTCTTCCACGAAATAACATTTCTCGTTGTGTGCTGTTTTTATGCCGATGAACAAATATCATTTCTATTCTTCAAGTGTCAGTCATTCCATACTCAATGCAGTCCAATATTTTAGTGCCCTTTAATTTCTGCTAATGGCTTATTTCAATAACATCAAAAAACTTTCATATATTCGATTTATTCACAGCAGAAATCGCTTGTTTTTTGCTTTTTGCAAAATAAATGGAAATTATCAAATATGATATGATATGTAACTAATTACCCCAATATTACATCAAAAAAGGCAAACTAAAATAGGGTGACACTCTAATTTCAATCCTATAAGAACTAGGGAACATATTCAATCATTCAGCGAATACAACAGATATGATATTCATGTCAGAAAAAATAAAATAAAATTTGAAAATCAATTAAAGCAATTTTTCATCATTTTTCATTTTCAATCTTTTTTCAACCATTTTATCCAAAATAATTTCTATCCTAAATTCTTCTCATCTTCAATTTCGTCCTTTGCTTCCTTGCTACCCTTCATTTACTGATAAATAACAATAATAAAAAGGGTATAAAGTACGTAAAACAAATCGCCTTGCAACGAAGTACTTCCTACCTTTGTCAAAGTTAAAGCTTAAAATTGTATAGATATAGTAAAGAAAGGAAGAGACTACATGTAGCATATTTTATCAATATGCTACATGTAATATGTAGCATATTTTATCAATATGCTACATGTAATTTTATTGGATTTGCATATTTCATACTTCGCCATTAGTAAAGGTTAAAATTGTGCAGATATAGAGATAAAAAGCAAAGAGAGGCCACAGCTTCCATATTGTAAATCAATATATGTAGTACATAAATCTTCACTGCACAAATAAAATATTACTAAAAATTTCGATTGCTTTTCAATCCCCGCCTCTCAACATAGCAAACTTACATTTTCTTGAAATTTAACGCAACACTACACTGCTTAATCTATATATATATATAGAAAATTTTAAGATCGAAAAATTTCGCAATAAACAAAAGTACAATTCTTTTCTTCAGATTCCTGAGTGGAAATGCATAAAAGCCTCAAAATAAACTGTGAGTGCTCAATAGGTTCCCGATGTTATTAAACGCTAAGGCATGTCGACTTTTTCAGTACCTCTTCCAAGAAGCACCTACGATACTCAGCACTTTACACATGCATTTAAAAAATTAAAGGAAAGGAAAAAGATAAAATCCAAGAAACATACGTAAACATTCAATTCATGCAGAGAATTTTTTTCTTTTTTACATATCTGTCATACACAAACTTCACACTAACAGCAAATATGAATTCCTTCAAATGCATATTTACTAATTATCAAATATTCTTACAAGGTGTGCTATTTACATTATGGATAAAAAATCTACAAATTAATGAAAACAGATGATTTCAGCGAAAGCTGAAAGATAAATTGTAGAAAGGACTAGATGATCGATAAATCATCTATTGGCTTTATCATAATACAAGAATTATCATAATACTTAACAATGCACTATAATAATGATATTACCATTACATGTCTATATAATTAACCATCGGCTTTATTTCTTGCATGTCTAGACGATTCCCTGTTCCAATTTATCTATCACACAATTCTTTGCTTATCGACCTAATGACTGTGACTTCTTTGTTCAGATAAAAAATTGTCTACTAAGTACCGCCCAAAAAGAAAGTATATATACAGTGTAATTTATTGCTTTGATGTTAGCCCTACTATACGATCATCACAATTATTGATCTACTCTGTAGGATAATCATTCACTTTGAATAGTTTAACAACTGTAATTCCCTACGTGTGACCAATCCATCTCCTTACCAATTCTCATTCAAACTTCGAAATCATTATTTCAGTCATCAATAACCAAAAAGAAATGTTCATCTTCTATCACTAGAACTGTCATATAACATTACCACTGGTCATTGACAAAGAATAAACTCTACAACAATCTTTATCTGTGAAACAACAAACTACCCAATCAAAAATTTTTTACGACAGATAGATTCTTTCAAGAAATCCACACTTTCTTATAGAAATACAGCAATGTTTGCTTTCTTGCACATTTTGAAATGAAATATAGCTTCCTCATATGAAAAAATCTAGAATCAAATAATTCATAAAGGAATCTCATTCGATAGTGCAGTTAAATTTTCTTAAATACACCTCGCCTCCAATCTATAACCTTCATAACTCTCTAACTAATATCCCGCAGTATTTTTTATTCGAACTAATATTTAACAGATTTCATCATCAGAGCTTTCTTCAGATAATTGTAATTCTCTAGAAGCAAAATTGTTTCCAGGATTTTTTGTTCCAGTTAACTTTTTTCGTTTATTCATCGGAACAATAGTCGATCTTTTCCTGCTCTTCGTCGATTTTTCCAAAACACACTTACTCGGTCGTTTCCTTTTTAATTTTTCATTTGTTCTCATCATCTAGAAATGGTTCATGCTCTTATATTAGTTTAATTCTCTTCAACTGTGATTTTCTGTAATATCACTTTTCTTCATCCCTCCGGAGTGACCCGAAAATATATCATTCGATAATAAAAGTGCAGTGGATCATAAAAAATAAAGTGTTTAAGGAGCGTTTTTTTAATCAGGGCTCAACTCTACCTACGAGCAATAAACATCTGAAAAAGGATCAGACTTTAATCGTAAATTGCTTAAATTACTTCGATATAAAAGCCACCTTCATTTCTGCAGCGCAGTTATTCACAGCACTTTCCGATGGAAGCTGATTTTGAGAATCTGGAAACAAATGGACCAAATTATAAGAAACAATGTTTTCTAAAGATAAACAAAGTAGACGATACATGTATTATGTGTAAAATATGCATATTTTTTCTTCGTATACCTTCACATAAAAATTAAGTGCATGAAGAATTCGAAATGTATAACCAAAATTTAAACATACTTTTAATGGTGATTAAACGATCCAGAGCAGCCCGAACCCGTGCTGTTAAAAATAAACGTTGATCTTGCTCGGATTTCTCCAAACGATGAGTAAATGATGTAATATGCATCTGGTACGATTGTCCACTTCCACCAGCAGCTGGATTCAAATACTCATTCCACTTCAGCAACGAATGATTTGTTTGCTAAAATTTTGCTTGTTGTCACGAGCAACCTATTAATTCAAGCAGGTGGATAAATGATGAACAGATAACAGTCATTTTCTAAACCATACAATCCAGAAAAAAAATGGGATTGCAATGGTAGCATGATATAGAAAATGATTTTCATATTTTCAAGTAAGCAAATCAAATTGTAGACAATTATATTATCAAAAGCTGCATATTACACATAGACGTTATAAATTAAAACGAATTTTTTTTCAAAAATTTTCAAAAAAAAATTTTTTTTAAATCATCACCTTTTCCAAGTGCTTCCCATCCCATCCCAGTTTCTCCCAAACAAACAACTCTAATTCTTCCATACTAATATTCCGCCACTTCGGATTCTCCGTTGAACTGTCAACCAAAGGTTTCGTATATGCGTTAAATACTTCACGAGAAGGAAACTAAAATTATTCAAAAAATTTTCTCACAGTTTTCCGAATGCGGAAAGCAATAGATCTTTTTTATCCCTGTCTCGTAATCCATTACTTTTCAAATCTCATTTATATAAATTCAATTTTTGGACAGCAGTTCCTTTGTCAAATACCTCATTTTACTCTTTGCTATGACCAATATAACCCTTATAATTGCCTTAAATCTAGGTACCACTTGGTAGATAATCGTTCTCAGTGGAATGCCATGATCTGATAGAGGAAGTGCCTAACTATTGAAGTGAATTAACCGTCTAAAAAAACAGAGAACAATAAAAAAAACAAGATATTGCAAAACTATAAATTACTCCAAAAAAGAGTATCAATCCGATAATTAAGTCTTCACCATGATAAATATAGAAAAACGTACCGCATCCAGAGTCTCAGCAGTGTTATTTTTTTCAATTAACCGTCTTAACTTCAATCGTCGTCTGTTTTCTATGAATTCCTTTTTCTCTAAATCCTGATTACTGATACAATCATTATTTGTTGGCAAATTATCCCAAGTACCACGATGATTTAACCAGGCTGATATACGGTTCAGGTTTTCAAAGGCCTGGAATTGTTTAAAAAAAAAACTGATTTCATACTTTCATGAATATTTGCACAGATATGTAGAAGCAGATGTACATGCAATAAGGGGACAACTGCAAACATCAAGAACAGACTATTCGAAAAATTACAATAAAAACCTGTTGAGAAGGGTCGACATCTATGTTTCGAGAAGCAGTGGCAAACTCTGAAATCAGTTCCAATGCTGCAACGACTCCAACACCTTCTAAACCATTAGTATAGTCGCCACCGGAGAGTAAAGCTATTTGCACTGCTTCCCAACGAGACAAACCTAGATTAATTTGTGACTAAAATCTGATTTAACGCAGTAAAGCAGACTTCAATGAACTTAAACCATATGGAATGGGCATACTACCGTTAACTATATTATTCTTAATCAAATGATGGAAGAATTTACCTAATTGATTATGAATAGTTTTCATACTGTACATTTGCAATCTTCGCTTTTGATTGAACATATTTTTATAAACAACAGTGGCGCCAAATAACCAAACATCGGAATCATCGCTAATTATTCCCTAAGAAAAAACATTTTATTTTTTGTTAATCGTTTTTTTATCAAAGTGATCCGATTATTGAACATATCTCCGAGCAGCATTGGAATCACAGAAGATAGAGCATGACTCTTTTATTGGAAAAAAAATACCTGGACGAGACCCAATCTTTCAAGTTCACAACATTGAGCTTCGGCTTCACCAGGAGCAATAACAAACGGTATCCCGCAAATACGTAACAAATCCTGAAACAAATAACTCAAATTTCCGAAGAACTTATTTAATGTAATGACAGCGATCTATTCAAATCATGCAAAATCGGGATTAAGTGAACAACAAACTTGACAATCTTTATAAATTCCTTCTTTTTTTATCGGGACGAAAATATCTACATCGTCAACAGGATTAATGCAGATCGGTGATTCTTGAAGTACCGATTCGACGTGTGAGTCATCGACACAGCTGTTCTAAAATACTTTCGGTGACTCTTTACTGACAAGAAAAGTTATTTACTAGCAAACTGAAGTAGTTCACCTAATACGAAACAGAAAAGAAGATATAATTTCATCGTAATTATTTGACAGTTGCAAATTAAAGAATGCAAGAAAGATGTACTAAAATAAAAAGTACTAAAAAGTATCAAGAAGCGAAAAATAAAAAACAGAACTAGAAAGAACTAAAAATTCCTCAACAAATCTCTTCCACCTTATCACGGATGTGCTCCTTATCATTAATGAGACATTGCTTTGCTTCAGATTCAGTTGAAATTTTGGTTGTTTTCGTTTTAGATGAAGAATCGGTTTTTTCAAAGAAATGTTCTGATAATTCAGGAAGTACTTCAATAAACTCATCACTACTCTCGCTTGATGTTGAAGACCATGTATCGTGACGTAAATCTAGGAGATTTGTAGATTAAATTTATTATAAAACTCAGGAATATGAACAGGAATGAGTTATGGACAACAAAGAACTATTCTAATAAGTGGCAGATAATAAAACACGGAGTAACTGTTCATCCACACACAAAATATAATATAGTGTCAATTTTTTCGAAATAGCTTTCATAAAATCTTTTCAAAGTGACCAAAAACTTAAACAACTACTAAAGAAAAAAGAAGAGAATAAGCTCATATACTGGAAAAAGATACCCCTAGCCCTTGCAGTGAATGCTGTACGTAATCGTTCGATCATATCTCCTTTAGATTCGTGATTGTAGCTATGCATAGCCATTTGGAATTTACCGCATTTCTCGACTGAGTTTTCGAGAAGTGAAGCATGTATGGCCTAAATATACCGATTATTCCTTTTTATTAGTTTAAAATTCCACTGATTAAAAACGAAACATTAAATTTAAATCAGTTTTTCTCAAACCTCTTGCAAAGCGTCGTCATAATCATCACTATCACGGTCATTAGGATAAGCTCTAACTTTAAGATCATCGGAATTAGCAGCCTGGAAATAAATTTACGAAGATAAATCTCCAGAACATGACTTATAATGCCGTTTTTTAAAATAAATTTCCTTTAAATAAATATATGGCTTTAAGCAATAACAAAATGAAAAAAAAGCATGAAAAAAAAATCCTACATTTAAAGCTTACTCTTGGTGGCAGCTCCTAGCTAATACGATAATACTCTTAAAACAAGTATTGAATATTACGAAAAAGTTTTTAAAATGATTCATGCCCTAAAAAATCATCGATGGCAAAATTCGATGTTTTAGAAGACAGATCGAAAAAAAAGCAAATTTATATACCTCATAAGAAAACACTTTTTCTGCTTTTTCATTATCCTTCTCCTCTTTAATTTTTTCCAGAAATGCTGGCCAAGCTGGTGAGTCCATTAAATCTTTCTTCTTCGCCTCTTTTTCCTCGTCAATCTAAAAACATTTGACAATTTGAACTCTAACAAATATATTTAATTACTAGTGCGTCTTTCTGATAGGATGAATATAAGAATTATGCTGGCACTGACACGTATTACGACTAAACTGACTTCCAAAATGCCGCGTGAAAATAATGATCAAGACGGAATCTTGATTAAAGCTGGACATTTGTCCAACTAAAACTTGTCGATGAGTTACAGTCTTATGCAGCACACCTCAATGTTATCGAGAACAAAATAATGAGAAGTAAAAAATTTTCCATACATTCAGAGCATATTCATAGTTTCGTATTCAAAAAAAGAATTCATTAAAGATACTATTTGCACTTCGTTGTCATCTGTTATTATATGCATTCTGTTCAAGCCTTCCATTGCTGCCAACTTGATGTTGCTATTCGAACAGCTATGTTTTTCTTCCGTCGAAAATACTCTTAGCTTTAAAGCTTCATTCTTCAACTTAAAAAAAGAGGAAAAATACACACTGAGCACAATCTGAACCACAAAGGACAAAGAAAATTCAATAGCAGTGTAATATTAAATGGATTTAAGGATCAGCCGTTGTATATATTAAAACACAACAATTGAAATATAAAATAGACATTATCGCTTTACTCTAGAGAAAGAATGAAACTGTAAAATTGCATAGCCTTTCAATAAAAAACAAGGTGGAAAAATCGAATTTCAAGAGTAAAGAAAAATCTTACCAACTGAAGTTGCTCATTTATCTGATTTCTTTTCATCAACCTACTAATTTGCAAATTACTGAAGGCTTTTGAATCATCTGGAACCTGAAATTTCATTTTTTTCCAAAGTAAAAAATCCAGATTTTTTAGTAACTGCAATGTTATGCAGAATATTTTACCTCTGCTAGTTTGAGACCTCTAACTTTGTCCCGTACAGCCAACAAGTAATCAACTCTGTCATCGCGAGTGGTTAGGCTCTCAAATTCAGTTTGATCGAATTCAGACGACCGCGATGATTCAAAAGAAGAACATATTATTTCTTCGTCCGACATATTTTTGTGCTTTCTAAAATTGATTTTGATATTTTTTCCTTTCTCTTTCTTCTATTTAACGCTTTATCAATTTTTTTATTAAGACAGAATTTTGGATTATAAGACTCGCAAAATGAGCCAAAATCTTTATTCCATCTGCAGATCGACCTTTTTTTAACATGTAGTAAATTAAACCTTACGAAGTAATTACGAGAAGAAAAAGAAGGTAGGCAATGTCAGCATATGTGATGTGAGCATCACTTTTCTTTTCCACCCTTTTTCTTTTATGTATGTCACTCTAGCTAACTTTAAAGGAGACTAAAGAACCTAACACGAAAGATCTAACTTATATCGGATTATCAAATACATCTAGAATAGAAAGAGCTATCAACGCCAAATTTCATCCTATAAATTCTCTTAATAAAACTTTTTTTTTCAAAAAAATTTCAAATCGAATATCAAATATCTGAGATATTTAGTACATATAAATGGTACAGTTTTTTGTAATGTCTTGAAGACAATCCAAACGCACATTTTATCCCTTGATGTCGATGGAATCGATACGTCGAACAAATCATCATCTCGATGTTTCCTTACATGTGAAGCAAATATTTCGCTTAATTCATCTAATCGTTGTTCCCCATCGTCTGAAAAAAGATTCTCGATGCCTGAGCAGCCAGTCTATCTAATCTTTTTGCCCACCTTTATCGAGCGACCATTCAATAACTGTTACTACTTCATTGCAATGCTATTGCCTATTGTTATTAAGATCCTTACACATATCTAAATTTACACCGATTAATTAAATTATCTAATTTAGTGTCTTAAAAGTTAGTGTCATATCATTATCGAAAGTGATATGATATCGAAATATGTATACAATGCAAACTATCTACATTTTTTTCCTTCCCTTTACCGATGTTATAAAAAGAGTACAGACGCAGCTGTGATAAGGCTAGCTGTTGTAGGACATGTTTCTGTGCTTTGGTCATTGTTAGTTCTTCCACATAGCGTTTCACTTGGCGATCACGCTAAAATCGCTTTTTTGATAATTACGGCATCCAACAACAACTAGTAGATCTATCCATCTGTTTTCCTGCTGAACTCCTTGAGAATTAAATTTCAAAAACAAAGGACAACGAAATAATTGATCGAAAGGATAGTTAGCTATCCACCTAAAACTGATCTAAAGAAAGAGAACATAAATTCATCTAACTATAATAGTCCAAAATATTTTCTCTTGAGCGAATACAGTTCACATACCATATACTTGTGTAAAAGAAAAAAAAACTTATCTTTTTGATAAAAAAAGCCTCAAAAGAACAAGACCTCAGACTTACAATTTTATAAAAGAAAATACAGTAATCTTCAAAGCTAAAACGTCCAGAATATATAATAACGGCGAAAGAAATACCAATAATTTCTTTTTGAATATAGGCACATTTGGACCATCGAAAACAAATAGTGGTCGTATTTTGTAAAACAGAAGTTTCGCGAGACGCCGTAGTACTAGTGACAAATGCGGGCATTTCGCACTCAGCTGACGTTCCGAATAACCATACTCTGCTTGATAAAGCCAGATTGAAATATCTGTAACAATTGGAAAATTTTTGCACAATGACAATAAGAGGTACTGGATACATTCTACGGCAATTTTAAAACAGTGCAATTTATTCCTCATTACTTCTTGAAATATCTAATATAAACTATAAATTCAGTAAAAGCTTTACAATAATAAGAAATCTTTGCACAGTACTTCACAAATATATTAAATAACATAAAGCCGTTAGCGATATTCTACTATATGTGCTATCTGCCAACTTTGATAAAGTACCAACTTCCAAAATATAACAATTAGTCTCTAATGTTATTTTTATTCGATATATTTTGAAATAACCTGCAAATTTTGTAAAGTTCATAGAAATCAAAATAAAAAAGACGAACCAATTGCAAGGCGCTTCCCTTCGAGGGATTCCAAGGTTACCGGTTCAGCTACCGGTTCCAATACCTGCCATAATCCCTGTATACCCATATCTGAAATATTCACTTCCACGTTGAAATAAACGTAATATTCGTTACGATCAAATTTATATTTCAAAAACTACTCCCAAATAAGTATAATTAAAGATTCAAATAATTCCATCCACCATTCGCTTTTTCATTATTGTCAAAGTCTTTTAATCATTTCAAATACTTTCCAGCTATTACAGACATATCTAAGAATATCATCCATTCCTATATCTCTTACTTTGCCTTCAATCTCTGATACTACTCCATACTATCAGTATTTTTATCAATCTTTTTCATCTTAATCTTCAACAAAATATTATCTCATCAATATCAGCGATCTACTATTCTTCAAACTACTCCCAACTTCTCACAGATATTTCACAATTGTCCGCAATCTTTACTTTCTCCATTTCCATTTCTCAATATTCTCCCATTTTAAAAATATTATCAGTCTCTGCTCCACTCCCAATGCCATACTATCTCATAAACACTTTCAATCTCTGCAACATCCTCAAACCTGTGTCTGCCTCACGTACCTCGCGCCACATTCACCTCGCGTCACGCTATCACGTACTTCGTGCCACGCTATCATTTAATTAGCCGGCCAGTGATCAACTTGATGATGCAAAATTTCTTGGAAAATTATGAAAATGACAATCTCAGCATTGTACAAATTAGGAAATTGCTCAGAATCTGAAATTTTTTTCCCCTACTGAATGCTTGGATTGCGCTAAAATTGCTCCTAAACCTCATAAATTCGTTTGGAATTTGAATTTTTTGAATTCAAATCAAAAATCTGCTACTACTATTACTATTACTAATAATAATGCAACCATTTTGCCGCAAAATTTTCAATAAAATTTTCAAAAAAAAAATTAGTTCATAAAAATTTTTTAATTGATATGAAAGTGGCTGCTACATGATTTTACGCTTATTATTCAATTTTCTCGTTTTCCTGATGTGTTGAATTTAATTTTGTTGTTCAATTTTCGGAGATTTCATTCAAAAATATCACTTTTATCTTCTTGTCGCGCTATGATTGAGATAGTGAGAGAATGGATTTCAAATATCGTTCGTCTTTGTTTTCTTCGTTTTTTGTCGAGAATTTCAATACTCCTAAATTGTTCTCTCAGTTATTGTTATTGTTACTGTTGGCATTCAGTTCTTTAATTTTAATTTTTTGTTTCCATTTTCTTTTCAAATATTATTTTGTTTCTTTTAATTTCATCTTAATTTCATTATTCTTTCATAAATTTTTTTAACTGTTCTCTTCTAAAAATGCTATTCCTATACCAGTTATATAAAAATGCAAAACAACTTTTCTATTCTCATCCAAAATGTAATATCAATTTCATTTTCAATTTCTACGCAATTTTATTTCTATTTTTAAATCAATTTCATTTCGTTAATTTTATCACATTGTCCATTTTGAGTGCTTGATATTTCAGAATGTTGTAAATAATGTATCAGGTCAAAGCGTTCTTTTTCTTATCGTTTTTTGCGCTTGGATTATTTTTTTGACCTTTTACATGTCACGTGTTGTGGGACCTATTGCTGCGTTTATTTTAACATATATAGCTCGAAAAGGTGGATGGAAATGCGTCTTGAAATTAAGTTAGTTTCATGTGACCAAAAAATCACACGAATCTTTCTCGATAATTTGTTCACGGTTATTTTGATGAGCAAGAATTTAATTTTACTTATAGGAATTTTAACTTTAATTTATACATATCTCATACTCAAAGCCTTACTTAGATTTCAGGTGTTGACCCATAATTGGACTATCACCTTAACTCAGTTTTTTAATTGTGTTACTCTTTCGTTCCAAAAAAAAGAAAACTTTTCCGTGTATCTTTTTTTGTTCAAAACACCAAAATTTATTAAAATATGAAATCAAATCGTACATGGAATTTCAAACCATTTTATCAACAGTGATCTTCAAAATCTTTTAATCATAATTATCAAATGTGACATATAAAATTAATTTTACTTAGTTCGAGAAATATTCTCTTCTTTTCTTTTTTTTACATCTTTTTCTTTAAGGTTCATTATCGATTTGTTTACTATCCGGAAAAGTGATGTTTCGCCATTTCACATTTATATGTGAAGATTATGCTATTTATTGTAATGATGGCTATATTATCTTCTCCTATTGGCGACATATCAAATTGATGGATCTTTATACACAAGAGTTTGTTTTTAGAAGTATTATTCGATCAATTAAGCCTTG